TTTTTTTTCCCCGGTTGTTTCTGACCCTTTTCCCCTTACAGGAGGAGATCGAGGCGTGCTGCGAGCTGCTGCAGGAGCGATGCCGGCGTCTGGGATCCAAAATCGCCGAGCTGCTGGTCCTCCCCATCTACGCCAACCTGCCCTCAGACATGCAGGCCAAGATCTTCAGCCCCACCCCCCCCGGGGCCCGAAAGGTGGGGCCCCGCCCGGCCTGATAGTTCCCCTTTTTAAGGGACATCGTGTAGTATTTTATCAGCTAAAATCATCGTCTTCCTTTCTAAATTTGGTGTAAAATTCCCTCTGCAATGATCTTACTTTTAATTATTTTTTATTAATTATTTTTTATTAATTACATTAATTTCTTTTAAATTAATTATTTTGTTTTAATTAAATTAATTAATTGTAATTCATAGTTTTTCAAATTAATCTAATAAATGTTTTTAAATTAATTTCTTTTAAATTAGCCCCACCTCCCCAGGAGCCCGAAAGGTGGGCCCCCACCTCAGATTTCCCCTTTTTAAGGGACATCGTGTAGTATTTTATTAGCTAAAATCATGTTTTTCATTTCTAAATTTGGTGTAAAATTCCCTTTGCAATGATCTGACTTCTCCTCATAAGGAAGAATTTCCTATCTGTATGTACACAGGATGGGTAAGTTCATGGAGGTTTCCATGGCGATCCGCCATTTTGAAAAACTAATGGCAGAGAGGAACATAAAGCACTAGTTTTCCTCTTCAGAGTCACGGGACTGAAACTTTTTTTGAATTATAATTTTTTTAATTAATTTAATTAATTCATTTACATAAAATTATTTTTAATTACTTATTTTTAATTAGTTAAAGTAATATATTTCAATTATTTTTTATTATTATATAATAATTCATTTTAAATTCATTATTTTGTTTTAATTAAATTAATTAATTGTAATTAATACTAATGCATGTTTTATTTCCCTTTGAATATTCTTCCAAATATCTCAAATTTTTGGACAACCCCAAAACAAATGTGTGAATTCCCCTCCTGTCCACAACCATCCAACACCTCTCTGAAGTATTTCTGTACTTTGAAGTCACAATTCAACAGTTAAAACACCTAATTTTGATCTTCCAATCACACTTCCTCCAATTTATTACAACATTCGTGTGTAATTCACATTTTTCCTGGACATCTAACTTGTTATCGTTGGATTCCTGTTGTAGAACCTTTCTAGGATTTGCCTTTAAAAGGCCGAAATGCTGCTAAAAACCTGCGTTTTTTTCTGTGCTAATGGGCTCATTTAAAGCCGTTGGGTTCTTTTATTCCCTGATTTTTTCTGGTTTAAACTCTCCTCCTTCCTTTGCCTCCTCTAATAAATAAAGGTGGTGGTGGCCACCAACATCGCAGAGACCTCGCTGACCATCGACGGCATCATTTACGTCATCGACCCGGGCTTCTGCAAGCAGAAGAGCTACAACGCCCGAACGGGCATGGAGTCGCTCATCGTCACGCCCTGCTCCCGGGTAACTGCGCCTAGCCGCTTAGCTGCTGCTTAGCCACCTTTTAGCCACCACTAAGCTGCCGCTTAGCTGTTTTTTAGCTGCTGCTTAGCCGCCATTTAGCCACCAGTTAGCCGTCCTTAGCTTAGCTTCCCCTTAGCCGCCACTTAGCTGCCGCTTAGCCGCTGCTTAGCTTCCGTTTACCCGCCGTTTAGCCAACAGTTAGCTGTCCTTAGCCGCTGCTTAGCTTCGGCTTAGCCGCCGCTAAGCCCCGTTTAGCCACCAGTTAGCCGCTGCTTAGCTTCCGCTTAGCCGCCGCTTGGCTGCCCTTAGCTGCCGCTTAGTTGCCGCTAAACAGTCTCTAAGCCGCCGCTTAGCCACCACTGTGTTGCCGCTTAGCCGCCATTTAGCCTCCAATTAGCTGTCCTTAGCCGCTGCTTAGCCACCGTTAAGCCGCCACTTAGCCGTCGTTTAGCCGCTACTTAGCCGTTGTTTAGCCACCGCTTACCCACCGTTTACTCACCGTTTAGCCACCACTGTGCTGCCGCTTAGCGGTCTTTTAGCTGCCCTTAGCCTCCACTTAGCCGCTGCGTAGCTGCCGTTGAGCTGCCATGTAGCCACCACTTAGCTGCGGCTTAGCCGCCGTTTAGCCACCAGTTAGCCGTATTTAGCTGCCATTTAGCTTCCGTCTAGATGCTCTTAGCCGCCCTTAGTTGCTGCTTAGCCGCCACTTAACCGTCTTTTAGCTGCCCTTAGCCGGCGCTTAGCTGCCGCTAAACTGTCACCAAGCTGCCGCTTAGTCGCCCTTAGCTGCCATTTAACTGCTGCGTAGCCACCGCTTAGCCGCGGTTTAGCCACCAGTTAGCCGTCCTTAGCAGCCCTTAGCCGCCGCTTGGCTGCCCTTAGCCGCCGCTTAGCCAACCTTAGCTGCCCTTAGCCGACGTTTAGCTGCCCTTAGCCGCCCTTAGCTGCCCTTAGCTTCCACTTAGCCGTCTTTTAGTTGCCCTTAGCCACCGTTTAGCTGCCGCTTAGCCGTCTTTTAGCTGCCCTTAGCCACCGCTTAGCTGCTGCGTAGCTGCTGTTCATCCGCCATCTAGCAGCCCTTAGCCGCCCTTAGCTGCCTTTAGCCTCCACCTAGCTGCCCTTAGCCTCCACTTAGCCGTCTCTTAGCTGCCCTTAGCTTCAACTTAGCCGTCTCTTAGCTGCCCTTAGCTTCAACTTAGCCGTCTCTTAGCTGCCCTTAGCCGCCGCTTAGCCTCCACTTGGCCGCTGGTTAGCCGTTGTTTAGCCGCCACTTAACTGCCCTTAGCCTCCACTTAGCCACCCTTAGCCATCCGTAGCTGCCGTTTAGCATACATATATATTCTAACTGGTTTTGAAGGCTTTTTTTATGGGTCCCTCACAGTTTCTAGCTCTTTGTGGTTGTTTTTTGTATAGTTTTCGTCTCTTTTTGTGTTTTTTTTTAAGTCTGAAAACAGACGTTCAGCCTGTTGTGGAGTCGTAGACGTGAAAGAACCCTGAAATTTCCTTTAAAACCCCAAACGTTTCTCCGTCCCGTCCTGTCCAGGCCTCAGCCAATCAGAGGGCGGGCCGCGCGGGCAGGGTGGCTGCTGGGAAATGCTTCCGGCTCTACACGGCGTGGGCCTTCAAACACGAAATGGAGGAAACCACTGTCCCCGAAATCCAGAGGACCAACCTGGGGAACGTGGTGCTGCTACTGAAGAGCCTGGGTGAGGGCCAGGAGGCCATCTTTGTTTTTTAGAAATCAAAACAGCTTCTGGGAAACTGATGTAGATTCTGTTCAGAAACAGAGTTTGAAACATGTTGTTTCTGAGTTAAAGCCCAAAGAGGAGCAGCTAGAAGCTCCTTTTTTGGTCAAAAATAAGCTATAACTGAACTAAGCTGATGAGTTTCCATCCAATAAGTTCAACTTCATAACTGGTTCTAGACACTTTCAAAACAAGAAAAACATCTTTATTTGTGTTAGAAATCTGAGTTGTTTCTGAGTTACTTTTTGCACCTTTGTGCTCATTTTATGACATTTCTTGCTTTTTTATGTGTTATTTGGTTATTTTCGCTAAAAATATTATTAAATGTGATGATTTGATGAGTTTTTGGAGTTTATTTAGTCGTTTTTCTTGTAGTTTGTTGTCATAAATCAGCTTTAACTGAACTAACCTGATGAGTTTTTCCTGTTTCCATCCAATAAGTTTAACTTTATCTTTTCTCACTGGTTCTGGATGCTTTGTAATGGACTCAAAACAAGAAAACATCTTTATTTATGTTAGAAATCTGAGTTGTTTCTGAGTTACTTTTTGCTCCTTTGTGCTCTTTGTCTGACATTCCTTGTTTTTTTTGTTTTATTTTGGTCATTTTTCTGAAAAACAAAGGATGAAATGTGATGATTTCATGCGTTTTGGGAGTTTATTTAGTAGTTTTTCTTGTAGTTTGTTGTCATAAATCGGCTATAACTGAACTAAGCTGATGAGTTTTTCCTGTTTCCATCCAATAAGTTTAACTTTATCTTTTCTCACTGGTTCTGGATGCTTTGTAATGGACTCAAAACAGGAAAACATCTTTATTTATGTTAGAAATCCGAGTTGTTTCTGAGTTACTTTTTGCTCCTTTGTGCTCTTTGTCTGACATTCCTTGTTTTTTTTTGTTTTATTTTGGTCATTTTTCTGAAAAACAAAGGATGAAATGTGATGATTTGATGTGTTTTTGGGGTTTATTTCGTGTTTTTTCTTCTAGTTTGTTGTCATAAATCAGCTTTAACTGAACTAAGCTGATGAGTTTTTCCTTTTTCCATCCAATAAGTTTAACTTCATATTTTCTAACTGGTTCTGGACGCTTTGTAATGGACTCAAAACAGGAAAACATCTTTATTTATGTTAGAAATCTGAGTTGTTTCTGAGTTACTTTTTGCTCCTTTGTGCTCTTTGTCTGACATTGTTTTTTTTTGTTTTATTTTGGTCATTTTTCTAAAAAACAAAGGATGAAATGTGATGATTTGATGTGTTTTTGGAGTTTATTTAGTAGTTTTTCTTGTAGTTTGTTGTCATAAATCAGCTTTAACTGAACTAAGCTGATGAGTTTCTCCTGTTTCCATCCAATAAGTTTATCTTAATATTTTCTAGCTGGTTCTGGACGCTTTGTAATGGACTCAAAACAGGAAAACATCTTTATTTATTTTCGTTTTTTGAGTCCATGGTCTCTTCTTCTCCTCCCCTGCAGGAATCAACGACCTGATCCACTTCGACTTCATGGACCCGCCCCCCCACGAGACCCTGGTTCTGGCCCTGGAGCAGCTCTACGCTCTGGGGGCGCTCAACCACCTGGGGGAGCTCACCAAGGTTCAAACATCAGCCTGAGTGGCTTAATATTTAGGCATTTAGAGCCCAAAAAGCTTAAGAAAAACTCCCCATGTGTCCTCTGAACTGGCTGAAATAATCACCATCCAGCTTTGGTCAGAAGGGATTAAAACTTTTATTTTCCACACAGCAAATTTGACATTTTAGGGGTGATTTCTATTACTTTTTGGATAAATTAGCATGTTTTTTATTTTATTATTATTATTATTTATTTTTATTTTTTTATCACTCAAATGTGCAATGGAGTCATTTTAAGTCCAAAAAGATTAAAGAAAAACTCCCCATTTGTCCTCTGAACAGAAGC